AGCCAGGGACTTTCCTGTTGAAGTTTGACTTTTCAGGGCTAATATATTATCATAATACTGCAAAGTTAGAGTCTTCAGGGATACTTTGAAAGGTGCAATTTTTATGTATCTGGCTTTCAGTGCACAACTGTGCTTTAGAGGTTTTTGCTTACCTATGTACTCAATGTGTTTCATATATACAGAGTGTTTCTTAATAGTAATTGTGTGCATGTATATGTCTGAAATAAAAATTATAGCTCAGTACAGTAACCTGTGAAGAAATGCTCGTCATATATGTCTTAATAAGTGCCACAGCCAGATTCATGTGCCACATGTAATCATATTAGAACATAAGTGCGAATTATAAAGTGCTGGAAATCTGTCACTTGCTATTTAAAATGTACGGGAAGAAAATACATCATGGTCTCTGAACTGCAGGTAGTGTGATCTTACAGAACTGCTTTAAATCTCTGAGCTTTACTTCCCTTCATCCCAGGCAGTACTTGCTCACCTTCCGAAGGCAGTCCTGTTTTTTGCTTCGTCTCCTGGCTAAAGCATCTGCTGACAGAGAGATTGGAAATAGCAGCTCTTCCAGCTTCATGGTTTTCCTGTGCTAGCTGTTGTCAGGTAGCAAACCTGAGGGTGGCTAGTTATAGCAACATTGCTTTTTCAGATGTGGGAGAAGGGGCTGAAGGAGGAACTGAAAGTCAGCAGAGAAGGGGCAGGAAAGAAGAGTGATAGGGAGAGAGCAGAGAAAAAGAAGACTGGAAGAAAACAGTGAACACAGGGACAGAGGGATGAAAGTGGGAGTGAGCAGGAAGGAGGGAAGATAAAAGGGAACTTAAGTGAAATTAGTGATATAATCCCTTTTGCCATCACAGCCTTCATTGTAAAATTTTATGAATTTAATACTTAATTGTAACACATGCACACGCATACCACAAAAATATCACCTAAGCATGAATATGTGTGTGTAAAGTGATTCCTGCCCCCTTCCCTCAGACTATTTGATATGTCCACAAGAGTTTATGTCAACTACCACATTCGATCTACAGATAAAGACGTCTGGCATTTGGCTCATCTGAAGTGTATTTGCTCCATTCTGGCAGGTGAAAACTTTCTGCTGTGTAAGATGGCCTGTGCACACGGGTTGGGAATGGTGTCTGTGGTGAAATGGCACAGCCCAGTTCTGATGCTGCCCCAAGCATGCCCTCGTTGGGAGAGTCGTTTTACTAATGGGAATCATTAGGAAAACTTCTACCTAGGGTGGACTAGTGACAGCTCCAGTGTACCTAGAGGTAATGTGTTGCATCAGTGTGCTTATCTGGTTTTGCATATAAGGAGACGTGAGAATATTTTGGGGCATCTGTCAAGTTTTTCTATGGATTTGAACTGATTTGGTACTAGGATATAAACAAAGTCTGTGTACCCTAGAGGAATGTAATAGTGAGCTTGGTCATGTCACTGAGGGATGGATGGAAACGTCGCTTCCAGTTCAGTTTGTCAGAGCGTAGTGGAATGCTGACACTATGTTTGTAAAAGGAGTAAGATGCTATCATACCCTCTTCCCTTGGGGCTATACCTGCATCGTATTCAGACAGTCGTTTGGCTCTGGGACTCCATTGCAGAGCTTGCGCTAGAAAATCTCACCTGAGGTTTCTCAATGTCTTCGAGTCTAGTGCTTTGTGTTCTGTTTCTCACAGTTAAGTTGTTTGAACCTAAACAGAATAAAGGCAAAATATGAGAGCAATCCACAGTATCAGCTGAAAGCCATTGACTTCTTCACCCACAAATGGCATGGTAGGTAGGAAAAAATTCTGGGAAGGACGGCACAGAGAGGGGAAGTGTGAGCTTGCTTGCAGTAGGCGGGTGCTGGTACTGCACAAAAGTCCTGGGCTCTGCAGACGTACTGAGGCTTCCGAAGATTCCTTGTATAAAGCATATTAGGTTGAAAGTGAATAGGGAATGGAGGAAAAAATGGGAAGCGGGGAGAGTTGGTGAATTGTATCCGTAGCACTGAAGTTGCCACAGTGCTAGGAAGGACAGTTCCCACTTTAAATTAGCCTTTGCATGCTTTTAAATAACCTGGCCTTAAGTCACATCTGCTGGTGAATGGCTGAAAATAGCATCCTGAGCACCTGCAGGGCTGCTGCAACCGTGGGGGAGGAGTTGGAGAAGAGCTGCTGCTCTTCCCTGGGGAGTGAGAAGAGGGAAAAAGGGAAGCAGCTCTGATTTGCCATCGGTTCGTTCGCCAGCTGGGAATGGGGTAGGACTGTCATGTTACCAGTGCCTCTGAGCTGCTTTCCCTGGCAGCCAGCTGGATAATAAGGCTGCAAATTGTTGGTGTGTTCCTTTCCCTTTTGCACCCTCTCCCCTTGCTTGCCCCTGTTTTCTTGCTTCTGTGTACGTGCTACAGCTCCCTTGTCCTAAGCTGGTTCACAGGAGTGAGCCCTGCATACCACTCATCTGTGGTCAAAGCTCCAACTCGAGAGCTGTCTTTAATTCTCCTTTCTCCTAATAACGCTCTAGGGACTCTGATGTTGCTGGATCAAACCCTTTTGCCCTTGTCTCCGACCACACACAGCTGGCAAGGTTTGCAAACTGAGTTGGAAATAAAGGAGCTTGTCTTTTTTTTTAATTAGTGCTTCAACCTGTACAAAAAGGATTTTTGTAGTGAAAGCTGACCTCTAGATAGATTGGTCAGAGGGGCAACAAGAGCTTCAGCCCTGAGGGAAAATGGGGCTCTTGTTGCCCTTGCCTGTTAGCTGGAGCCCTGTGCAGAACAGCTGAGTGCTTGCTGTGGTGGTTCATTAGTTACCAAGGCATGAGAGAGGTGTAGGGGAATGCTTTGATTAGAGGCAGTAAAGAACATGTACAACTCTAGAGGTAACAGGAGTTAGGTGTGAATTTTACGTTGAATTTTTTTTGGTTTTCACTATGTGAGCTATCAAATAAAAATCAGGGATGAGACCATTTGACTGTAACTCAGTACAAGATGCAGAATTCGTTTCTTTTCAGTATTTCTCACTGTTCTGAGGTACACCAAAACCTGTCAATGCTTTGTCTGGATTTGGGTGAAGGGACTATGTTCTCTTCAATCTAGTTTTCAGAAAATTAGAGTTATGTGTTTATACAGATTTATATAGAACTCCCTCTCACAGGCACTGTATGGAGACTGTGCTTACAGCAGCTAGCTGTGACAAAATATGACACGATTCAAGTTTTGACAGGAGTTGTGCTATCATCTTACATGTGGAGATTACTAATAAGCTTTTCCTAGTTGCATTTTTTTCAATTCATAAAAAATTGAGCAATAACACTGCAATGCAATGGAGGATTATGCCTTCAAGTAGTTTGCATTCATTTGGACGGTGGCAATTCTCTTTGCCTGGCGTGTTCTAGTTGGCAGGCTTTCTACTACATCGATGTAGGAGATGTGGTTGTTCACATTAACTATTGCCTTCACTCATTTGGTGTTTGTGGTATATACAAGTGTTGGAGTCAGTTATCTAAATACTTGTTTTCTCCACAGACAGTATGATCTTTACTGGGCAGCTTCACCTGAAACAAAGTAACATTAGATGATTAAGTTGTCAAAACTGTGTGCCTGTGCAAGGGTGCAGAGTTTGCTGTGCCCGTGCTTGCTGCTGGTTTGCTCTCTCTGAACTGAG